ATTACAGTTCACGAAAATGTGGAAAGGTACACATTCAACGAACATTCAAGTCATGACACATGGTTTGAAACATGTACATGCAATGTAAATTTTACATTTCCATATACGTGTATGCGTAATCTTAAGTTGACAATGCGCGCAAACAACAAATCTCCGAAAAAGATACAATGTTGTACACTGCTTCTGAAATCAAGGACGACACCGACCTCAAACGTCCTATCGACCAATCGACGAGCCATATGCAGTGAGTGACACGCTGAAACAACTGTTCATTTTGAACACGACTTGTTGACGCTGTGACGATTTTGATTGTAATAACAACAGATCAGTGCTTCCATACATTTTTTTTTATCGAACCGATGCACGTTAACAGTGATAAAACTAATATTTACAATATACAAATACATCTACTACTTATATATGCATTTACTATACATTTTCTATTGGATACTTGTCATAATAAATGTCAAAAACCATTATTAAACAGTGTAGAACATTTGAGCACAATAACAACAAACGTCACGCATGAGTGGACCGCACCGATAAACAGAAGGCTTGACCGATAAAATACAAGGTATAACGCAACGATACCCGAGATATAATTACAGAAATAGAGGAGATATATAAGATACTCACCACAGACTGTCTTCTGTGCTCATATTCACACTGAAATATTTTATAATTCCATCGGGTGTACAGAGACGATAAGCCAACACCAGCTCTACCTGTATAAGTACGTCGTTTCTCCCGCGCTTACTTATTTCCGCCCGTGATACCTACCTTCCGCCTAACGGTCATAACGGTATTACAATATTTACCAATAAATGCGGACGTGACAGTGATATCTCCAATTTATGATGATGATATCACTAATTTATCCCAACCTATCTCCAATTTATAACAGTGATATCACAAATTTATTATATTTTTGTTTCCTCTCTTTTTTAAGAGGTAGTGAGGTTTTAGGTTGGTTTAAAACAAAACTCAGTTATAATTTTAACAAGACTGATCCGAAAGTTCCCCAAACTGTCCTCGCTTTTGCAACTGATGCTTACGACAGTGTTTTCAATGCCATCCGTAATACACTTGCATATACTAAAATTGAGACAAAGGGAGGGACCGATGGCATCACCTTGACTGACACCAATACATTTGTCAATCAATTAGAGGTGACGCCGGACATGTTTGATACATGTTGCTGATCGGAAAATGAAACGCGTGACGCACATCCACATGGGAGTATACACATGCCCGCCAATGCTCGTGTGAAGTTTTCATAAGTATCCGATAAGTGATCTTTGAAAATGTCCGGATACCCTTTGGTGGAAGAAGGTAGTAATATGAGAGAGGAAAACACAATAGTATTAATAAGAAATGGAATAGAATCAATCTCGTTTGTGGAAGTTCAATATTTTACAAGCAAGCACTACCGCTTAGAATGGCCAATGTTTCAAATTGTCAAATGAATCGGCTTTATTTCAGCACAATGCGCAAAATCAAATTTGTATATTTTGCAAATGATATAATGTATTATTCCTTAAATGAACTGTTACAACCCCATACAGTATTCACTATTTCATGACAACAGTACGGTTGTTAAGTTTATTATTGCGGCTCATTTCTGCGCTAGTCATATTATTCTGTAGGTCATATTATAATAGAAAGAGCAAAGTAAGTGATGACTGTGCATTATTAATACTCCATTAATTTGTAAGTTTAAGTACATGTAATGTTGAATATAACGATCATTGCCTTCTAAATGGTCATGATAAAAGAAACACATGTATTTCTTTTGCGAATCACATGTACTGGAGATTGATTTAACATCAATGGTTTGTGTAATCTGACCAACAGCCACAAGAGGAATTGATATTCACATTGGCAGACACATCTGGTACTACAACTAACACTGAAGGTGGAATGATATCACATGAACTGGTGTCTGTGCTGGGCAATGACGTGGGCCAATCCAGGCACGGGAAGTGATGAACATTAGAAAAGCAGAGTGTTTTGAAAAGTGGACAGTGTTACTGGTGCCGTCTGTGTCGGAGAAGATCACTACCACGATCTCAAATTAAATATCTTCAAGCTATGACCTCTCTCTCTCTCATTAACACTTAACTTAATTGAAAATATTAATTAATTTAAGAATTGCCTTCTTGTATATATATATTTCATTATGTTACAGAGAAAGGGCTTTACATAAGTTGGACAACTTGTGCCCAATCCCTTTTATATATTTGATGCAAATGAAAATATGTTTAAATCAATAAATCAAATTAATCCAGGCGACATGCCTGTGGTGGCGATGCCAGCACGTTCGTCTCTATATAATACAGATATAACATGTGCAATACGGAATGTTGTATTTACCTACTAGCCGGAACTACTTTTTATGGGAATCCAATTGGCATGGCGAACTGAAAAGTTCCCGGTATTTGCAAAAAATATCATTGTTTATAAAATCTTTGTAACAATCTCTACCAAATACGGAAGGTATGTGATAAAAGCAAGAACTACTGCGCACTCGTGAATATATTCGTCAGCGCGTTAAACTCGTGCTTTCTGATTCGTTAGAAAAACACAAGTGTGTGGTCTTGCATATGTATCACACAGTTGATGTAACATTGTGAAGAACTTGGAGGCCTTATGTCATGATACATTTCATGACCTTAAATGGTGGATTAAAGTGAACTGAGCGTCAGTACGGAGTTTTGAGGGTGATAGGTTCAAATCCCAGTCTGGGGTTGCATTTTACCTCGCTTGTTACACTAATGTATTAAGTACTCATGTGCAGCATATTTAACTGAATTGGACCTTGACATGACACGAATGACAGATGTGTGATGCAAGCGCAACTAGAACTGTAAGATAAAGGCTAACTAATACCCCCGTTCCTACATACACCAGAACTGTAAGCTAAAGGCTTACTAAGGCAAAGCAATATAGTCTCCCACCAGTAACAAGTATTTCGCACGAGGGGCATAACTCCACCATAAAATATAAATGCCGGTGCACAGCTACATAAGATACCGATCATTCATGCAAATTTTCAATGAAATCCACCAATTAGTTAAGGAGAAATTGCACGGACAAGTATTTCGCACAAGGGGCATAACTCCACCAACAAATTAAAATACCGGTGCACAGCTACATAAGATACCGATCATTCATGCAAAGTTTCATTGAAATCCACCTGTTAGTTAAGGAGGAGTTTTACGGACAAGTTACTGTGGACGACAGACAGACAGACAGACAGACAGACAGACAGACAGGGTGATTCCAGTATACCCCCCTAACTTCGTTACGGGGATATACTCAGTCTTTTGTGTTGTAAATTTCACAATGTAATTTTCATCTGTTGTACTTATTTGTTATATGACATATATTTACCTGCTGTTAAAACACAGCGGTTGAGTGGTTCTATATCATCATAAGATGTTCCTCTTGGCAAAAACTCAATGTTCACCTTTCTTAGTTCCTTGTCAAAAGTGCAACCTTTTTCATCGCTTTTTCCAAAGCCAAAACTTTTCTAGTGTTGTATCAAATGGTCTCCAAGAAAGCTATGGGTTTGATTTATTGTCGCACATCATTGCACTGTGTACCTTATGATTGTGTCCTTTTTGAAAAGCGATGGCGACACTGTGGAGATGTTCGAGTCTTTTTGTGTTATTTTTCAATTGGTTTTAATGACGTTTCCTTTTGCAGGTCCTTACATGAAGAGTATTCCTTTTTTCAATTTCTAATGAAGTCGTTTAAGATGGTATTGTTTTAATTTCTCCCCTAAGTGAAAAAAATGGCGCTGCAGATTCCCACAAGGTCTCTGCAAAATGTCGTTTTCTTTCGAATTTTTTTCCTTAATTTCATATTAAGGGTAATGGGATTGTGTCACCATTTCTCAGTAGAATTTCTTCACATTTTGTAGTTATATTGCTTTGAAGTTAAGAATATTTTCTGCCACAAAAAAAATAAAGGTTGTCAGATAAGGATTTTAAATGGAAATTTATGTAAAAAGGAGTGAATGTTGAAAAAAAAATGAAAGACACAATATTTTGCAAAATAATGTCAATAAAAATGATTCTGACATAGATTAGTATTGCATTAATGTATATCAATTTAATAAATGCTGAAATTGTGTAAAATTAATTATCTATAAACGATCAAAAATTGACATTTTATAATAAAACCATATACACATAGTTATTGCATGTAAGAGTTATCTTTCTTGAAAAACTTCACAGTAGTGAAATAGGTAGCCGGTTTCCTGAAGTACAAAAAAAAATGGACACAAGTGACTCATTAATGAAAAAACAACTGAATTAATTGCTGGATTGGTTTGAAATACTTTAATATTGAGCGAACACACTGTTCTGTCAATGATAAACATACATTATTCATCAGTTTACTCAGTATTAAACATTAGAGTATGCGGAAATTGTGATACTGTCTCCGTACATTGGATTTTAAAACAGGGATGTACTTCCTATTTCCGTTTATCAATACACTCCTATGACCTTAAGGTCATTGGAGTGTATTGATAAACGGAAACAGGAAGTACATCCCTAGTTGAATAACCAATGTAGGGAGACAGCATCACAATTTCCGCAAATTCTAATGTTTAATATTAAATTGATGAATATTGTATGTTTATTATTGACAGACCAGTGTGTTCTCTCCATATTAAAGTAGTTCAAAGCAATCCAGGCATTAATTCAGGTGTTTTTTTTATCAATGAGTCACATGTGTTTCTCATTTTTTTTTCTCAAAATTCACTCCTTTTTACCTAAATTTCCATTTAAAATCCTTAAAATTCTGACAACCTATATTTTTTTGTGGCAGAAAATTTTCTTTACTTTAAAGCAATATAACTACAAAATTTGAAGAAATTCTACTGAGAAATGGTGACACAATCCTATTACCTTAATCACATTCTGACACCATACAACATCCGGATATATGCTCACCGTCATTCGTTTCTATTTTTTCTTTCTTATCTCGCAAATAGCACTGGACTACAACACCTATATCACACGTCAACGAGATACAGTGTTTGAAAAGTAAACGAAGATATAAGAACGCATTCAAGCTGACCATACCATTCCCAGATTGCAGGGGTGAATCGATCAAATATACCTGCCGAAACTACAGATACTCCGAGTATACACTACTACCATGGTGTTGACATTTTACTATGACTTGTTATCACAGCCATGCAGAGCTGTCTACATCTTTATGAAAATGAACAACATCCCATTTGAGACCAAAACGATTAATTTACTGCGAGGTTCGTATATCAAATCTTATTTTCATCGCACAGCATTATGTTAAACGGCAAACAACGTATCCCTCGACTTTATTTGCGGCGTCCTGTTTATTGACCCGTCCTGTTTATTAGCCCGAGAGACGGGCTGGGAATGTTATCACAGATAATGGTTAGTGTCTGTATCTTGATCAATAGATATTCTTGTTCGTAGATAGGATGATAACATGCCAGGCTAAATAACAAAGTGTAAGTTGAAGATATAAACAAAATGTACAAAATCTTTTGCCAGTGTGTTTATGTCGGGTGTAGTAGTTTTTTAATATAATTTGTAAAGTTGTTGGAAAAGTGATACCAAAGTCTTTGAAAATGGTAGTTGTTATTACCTTCTTAACATCCAGCATGAAGGGAAATGGCAACAACTGATTCACCTGTTGTCAGTATAATTTGACCGGGCAGAATGCTGTGCTCGGTGCCTTCGGCGTGGTATTTCATTGAGATAGCACTATTAAGTCGGCATCAGATCCGCGCTACCTTAAGCCGGCATGTACACCAACATATCCTGTATCCAGCACACATACACATATGCACGCATTCACAACATACTCGGAGACACGTCCTTAAATTATCTTATCTGGCGTACAACAGGTTCAATTAACGGAATTCGAAAAAGGAATTTTACATCTATTAGAAAAAGAAATAATATCATTTCAATTTACATGTACATTGTATAGCTATTCTACAACATTTGACGTGAGAGAGTAATGTTTGAAGTCTATTGAAATTTTTACCTGAAATCGTTCATGAATGTCCTGTCAAACATACATTGCACCCTCTAAAACCTTAAATGTAATTTCAATTTACAGGTGAGAACTCCAGTGAAGAGTTCAGGAAAGTTAGCTGCATTGGTCGCCTTCCAGTCATTGATGATGGAGGATTTATTCTCACTGAATGGTAAACTTTCAAACAGTTTTTTTTTAGCGTAATAAGAAATACAATATTTAATTATCTAACATCAAATGTGAAACGATTTATTTGTATTAATCATTCTTGTTGAACCGCTTGTTAGCGTGCAGTGGGTCATAAAGTGGGGGATAACGGAGTACCCGGAGAAAACCCGCGTTATCGGGAAGGTGGCCACATTCCATTCTATGTCCGATCGGGGAATCGAACCCCATTCGCCTTAGTGAAAGGCAAGTGCGCTATTCACTGCGTCATCCGACCACCCTTGAAGTGTAATACCATCCCAATATTGTCAGGCAATGATAATCGAGACTCAATAATTGCAGTTAAACTAATTATAGTAGTGTGACTTTACCAATGGCATATAACTACTATTTCAGCGTACTTTTTGTCGTTTAAAGATTAACGTAAGACGCATACAGGTGATTACAATGCTTGTGATGGATACAGATTGAACGTAAGACGCCTACAGGTGATTACAAAGCTTCTGATGGATACAGATTGTAAAAAAACACCCGAAATACACTGCACCATACAACTATTGCGTCCTTCTTGTGATGCTAGGGGCAACACAGGTGACGATCAAACAGAGTCTTAATTACTGCTGAAACAGAAGGGGATGTGCTTAAAACCCTTACTCTTAATGTATGAATTAAAAAGGAGTATTGGTTAATTTCGAATAATCATGAGTAAAGCTTGTATATATATATATGAACCATGTCAATGCTTTAAAGAGATAAATGCGCCTATCGAAGTAACGGCAAACCTCGTGGAATACAATACAGTCCACGCCCTCTTGTTTTGATGGACAGCTGTATAGAAAGTTGAACATAAGACTCACTCACGAACGCACCTTTGTAATTTGATTATATATATACAGCATGCCCGAACATTAATTTCACTGTATCATACCCTCTAGGACTCATCGGTTGAAAGGGGATGTGAGATGCACAACACCCCTAATTAATATGAATTAAAAAAAATAGAGGATAACTGATTAATTTCAAATAAATAATGAGTTAAGTGTATATATTAGGAACCGTGCAACTCCTCTAAGTCGTATATTACAACAACAACATTCTGTAATGTCGCTTTCATCTTCGGAACCCTATTTCTAGAGCTAATAGGAAAGAATGAAGTTCATTTCATGTGATTGGGTTATTAAATTGTAGTATGATTTATTAGGCATACAATTATCTATACAATTTTAGGTGACTATGTATACTTCAACCCGTGTCGCTAACTGTTCAATTAAGGATTGAATTCTGTTTTGTTGAGGTTTATGGGGTATAAACCTTGGTCTGGAGACAAATTTTATGAACTGCGAAGACCCATTGAGGTTTATACCCCATAAACCTCAACAAAATGGGAGTCTATCCTTATATTTACATTCAGAGCGATATTGATTTTGTTCGGATAGTTTCTAAAATATCGGTCTTGTGCAAGTCTAACACCACGGAAGGTATCAAAACTTATGACGTCATCATTCACTGTGAGACGTCGTCCTTGGTAAGATAAATAAGCTTTAGATGTAAATTATTTTTTGAATTCAATTTAATACTTCTGACAAAAAAAAACCAATTTGAAAACAATCTATGAATGGAACTACTTCCCGCGCTCCGCGGAATAACAGAGTAATCAGGTTGATAATAGGCTGATGTATCCATACGCCAACTGAAAAGTTCATTTAAGGATTGGTTGTCATATTTATATTCCAAACCAACAAAATTAGTTGTGCAATGTTGCGAGTATTGTTAATTGCTGTTTTAAAACTCTTATACACACCGACTGGGTCAGCGGTAAATTGTTCGGAACAGCCGGGTAGTTTCGCATTCCACAGTCGTTGTCAAGGGCAACCAGTTCGACAAAAACAATAAACAAGAAAGTTCCACAGTAAACACATCAATTTAATAATAGATTTTTTTTTTATTTAAATGCATATATGTCAATTACCAATTTGTATACTAACATGTGACCATTTTAATAATTGTTGTGGTCATTTAGCGATTTAACTGTCATACAATAACATTTTAAGACACAACACAGCGGAACATCGCCGCTTGGCGGTAATTAGGTCAGTGTATCACTACACTGACCTAATCCCCATTGTAGTTCATTGGAAAATATGTTACAATGGGACCAGTAGAGTTATCTAGGCCCTATGCAGTGCAAATGTAAATATTGAAAAATAACTTTTAAAATGTTAAGTATTTATATTGAGTCCAAGTTCTGTAGAAATGTAAATATAGAGATGTAACTCAGGTTAGCGCTCGTATTACGGCATAGAAGGGATCAGTAGCAACTGTGTTTGTGTGTTTCATATTTTGTGAATGTCTCCTTGTTTAAAGTTTGTGTCTGCGTTATAAATATTGTAATATGTAGTTGTTCATATTTGTATCTTGATAAAATACAGAATCTGTTTGTTTGCTCGGATCAAGTGCTCATATTGGAACAAACTGCCTTTATCATGTATGATATCCATATAAAGTATGATGTACTCTACAGTGTAGCCATCCTGAAGTACCTGGCTGTGAAACACAACGTACCTGACCACTGGTACCCTCGGACTGACCTCAAGGCTCAGGCCAGAATAGACGAGTACATGAATTATCAGCACATCAGCACGAGAACCAACATGGCTATGCTCTTTCAAAATCTAGTGAGTAGTACAAGAGTTGTAATTGAAAAAGAATTTGGACCCGCCCGGTAAGAAGATTGCTATTTTTTGTGAAATTAAGGAAGATGGCTCACATAGACTGTGCCTGTTGCCTAATACCTTAAACAATTTGCCATCTTTGTCAATAAAATAGGTTGAAATGAAATGACATTATTTGTGTAATTCTAATTACTTATTCTTTACAAGCATCTGTCAATTAAAATTATAATATCCTTTTCTTGGTGTATGGAAGAATACAATTTGCTGATACAGCTGAAAATGGCTTTCATGTTCTACGGCTGTAAATTAGAGAGAAAAAAAAAATTGAAAAAAAAGTCAGAACTAATAATATTGCCATTTAGGCCTTGTTGATTTCTTCCCGTTTTTAATATTGTTTTAAAATTCCTTATTGTTGATTTTTTTAAAAAGTTTAAATATCAAATGGGTACCAATAATATAGTAATACCGATATTAACAAGCATCTTTGTTGGTCGAGTTAAATTTTGAGTCATTACTTTTTCCTGATAGGATAATTTTAGCTGAAAAAATAAGTATATTCAAAGAACAAATTCCTGCTTAAACTTATAGATGAAAGCTGTTGTTAGCGTTTTAATTCTGATAGTAAATTCTTTAAAAAATATTGACAATTTACTCATTTTCACATCAGGCAATCATACCAAAGACGATGAGCAGACCAGTCGACCGGAAGAAGGTTGAAAGGTTCAGAAATGGTGTTGAACTTGCCATCAGCCATATAGATAAGTACTTCCTAAAGGACAGCCGGCCATATTTTGCTGGAGACAACATCTCGCTGGCAGATCTCGTCGGGATATGCGAGATGATGCAGCTATATGCCTGTTGTGAGGAAAGAATTATCGAGTCAAATCCAAATGTGAAAGCTTGGCTTGAGCGCGTCAAACCAAACCTAGCTCCATATTTTGATGAAGCTTCTGTTAGAGTGTGGAAATTGCGGGAGAATTTCATTAAAACAGCTCCAAACCATCCTAAATTATAAACGTTTCTTGGCGTCAAATTTACCTCGCTTTAACCAGATATTACAGATAACCGATTGGAAGACAAGTTGAGTTTTGGGTGAAATATGAAAACTCTTTTAAGCTCACCTGGTCCAATTGATAAATGGTGCGTCTGGCCCCCCTGGGGGCTGATGGGCATGGCCCAATAGGGGAAATATAACACATTCTTCAAAATCCTTCTTCTGTAGGAATGAAAGAATTTGTTCAATATTTGGTCAGAAGCATCCTTGGTGGAAGGGAAACACATTTTGTATAAATGGTGGGTCTCGCCCCCTGGGGGCTGAGGGGCGGGGCCCAATAGGGGAAATATAGCATTTTTTTAAATCCTTCTTCTTCTGTAGGAATAAAAGGATTTGTACCATATTTGGCCTGAAACATCCTTGGGTGAAGTGAAGGGGAACCAATTTTGTATAAACGGTGGGTCTGGCCCCACATGGGCCTGAGGGGCGGGGCCCAATAGGGGAAACATAGCAAATTCTTTAAAATCCTTTCTTCTTTTGTAGGAATTTGTTCATATTTGGTGTGGAGCATCCTTGGGTGAAGGGGAACCAATTTTGTATAAACGGTGGGTGTAGCCCTCCTCGGACTGAGGGGCGGGGCCCAATAGGGGAAATAGAGGTAAAACCTTTATAATCCTTTTTCTACCATAGGGATTAAGGGATTTTATCCTAATTTAGTCTGGAGCATCCTTGGGCAAAAGGAACTCAAATTCGTATAAACAGCGAGTGTGGCCCTATGGGGGCAGAGGGGAGGATGTGCCCAATAGGGGAAACATAGCAAGTACTCCAAAATCCTTCTTCTTCTGTAGGAATGACAGGATTTTGTCCAAATTTGGTATGAAGCATCCTTAGGTAAAGGGGAACCAATTTTGTATAAACGGTGTGTCTGACCCCCTGGGGGCAGATATGCGGGGCCCAATAGGGGAAATATAGGTTAAACCTTTAATAGGGGTTAAGGGGTTTTATCCTAATTTAGTCTGGAGCATCCTTGGGCCAAGGTGACTCAATTTTGTATAAGCAGTGGGTGGGGTCTCTAAGGGGACAGAAGGGAGGGGCCGAATAGGGGAAATAGAGGTAAACCTTTCAAATCCTTCTTCTACCATAGGGATGAAGGGATTTCTTCTCAATTTGGTCTGGAGGATCTTGGGCAAAAGAGACTCAATTTTGTATAAACAGTGAGTGTGGCCCGCTGGGGGCAGAAGGGCGGGGCCCAATAGGGGAAACATAGCAAATTCTTCACATACCTTCTTCTGTACGAATGACCGGATTTTATCCTTATTTTGTCTGGAGCATCCTTGGGCCAAGGGGACTCTGTAGTTTCTTCTCGCTATATCGCAAGTACTGGATGGATCTTTCTGAAATTTCGTATGTCCTTACAGCACCTACCATGGAGTGCTATATCTTTACTTCATACCAATTATTTTAAACATATTGATGAGCGATACAGGCCCTCTGGGCCTCTTGTTTGTTTTACACTTGGTGCTATGAAACATCAGTAAACAATGGTTAATTTTCTTTATAGACAAGTGTTTTAGAATACGCAATGAATAGTTAAAATTGATTTAATGGTATGTACATGTGTATCATTTATGAGTTGTTTTCGTTAGTTCAGTGTGCATGTAAGTGTTAACTGTGGTTATGGTCATGCTATTATTAATGGTTTCTGTTTGTGTTAGGTCAGTTTGTTTTGTTTTGTTTATTGTGTTTATATTATTTGTGTCTGACCTGAAGTGTTGATGTGTTAATTTTACCCGTTCAGTGTAGTTCAGTTTGTGACTGTAGTGTTTAATTTGTGAATTTTATTCAAAGACAACATTCCCGTTTTCGAGATCATCAACGTTCTTGAAATATTCCAAGATTGAATGGAATCGGTAAATGAATGCTTATTCGCATAATAGCTGACTTGATTTCATCCTTTTGCGATATTGTCTGATATAATACTACATTAAGACTGAACATCATATATTGAAGTTCATACATTAATTCTAAAATAATTCTATTAACACTAATTGTCTATAAACATATGTCCCTGACGAAGGGCTAAGCCCGAAAGCTTGGAAAAGAGTGACTTACAAGTTCATTAATTCTATTAACAATCTGAAGCTTAAGTTATTAGTGCTCTAAGTACAGATATTCCGTTAAATGGCGCTGATCAAATTGCGTTTACAGCTGTATGAACGCTATTCCTTTTGTAATGATTATAGAGGAACTTGCAGTGGAAATAAAAATATAGATGCCTATTAATTACGATGGCTTATGTATCTGCGCCTTTTCGTTAATGATGCTAGGAAACAATGACGCCATCACGCCAGATACAACAAAACGTAACGCTAACAAGAAATAATTGCAAATGTAAGAATATAACGCCAACATTAGGACGAAAAGATAAAATATAAATGAGATAAAATATCTTCATTTCGCATGTGGTTGCCGTCATATTCATTTTCGACGTTATTGATCAACCATTTACAGTCAGACACTTTATGATTGAATGCGCCGCTTTCAAACAAATTCGTAACATGTTTTATGATGTACCGTCTATGAAAAGATTATTCGATACAGTTTCTGTGCAATTGATATATGACTATTTACACGCTATTGGTCTTTACAATAGAAGATGGTATATTGTGCAGCCAATCTGATCGATATTGATGTATTTCTTTTAATCCTTTACATATTTTAAGCTATTAAGTTTCGGTCTGATGTGTTCATTTTCGTAAATGTATCTTTTTACAGTATTATTAGCCCTAAACGACTCAAATTGTCAATGGACCGTTAAACAATACAAACACAAAACAAACAAGCTTATTTTCGTTGAGGAGGTATGTTAATATACGCTTTCAACGTACAGCAGCATATAAGGTACTGATATAAACAACACTTTAATCTCCGATACAAAATTGTTAGCTTTTTATTTTTGTAAAATTTGAATTGAAGCACTTTTTTTACTTGAACAATTTTAATTTGCCTTTCTTATTGATAATGACTTGAACCTCTCGTATAATTCATGACGAAGATTCATTTAAAACATCGTTTCTGATTAGTTGTATATGTTTAAACGTATACTTAACCCAACAAATTGAATAAACTAAATATAACATCACCCTTAAATTTCTCAATCATTTATAAAAGAAAGAAAAAAAGCAAACAAATTAACGTGTTAACGAGATTGAATTACACAACATGTAATACACCACTATTGCAGACATTATAAAAGTGCAGCTAGCAAAACAGTGTTGGTATATTTTACTATGAAAATAAACCCGAAGTTAACAACTGCGATAATCATAATTCATGCAATGTCGAAAAAAGGGCAAATATTTTCAGCTTTCCAAATTTTTCTTACAATGTGAAATAGGGCAAGTTACTCTAACAATGAAGAAAAAAAAGCATATCCCTTCCACTATCATCATAACTCTTACAGTGTACACATGAGCAAATCCATTCAGCTGCAATCGTAATTCTTATAATATAAAAGAAAGGCATATCCATTCAACTATTATCACAATTCGTGCAATGTACAAACGGGCCAATCCATGGGCATATCCCTTCAGCTATCATCAAAATTCTTACAATGCAAAAAAAGGGCATAATCCCTTCCACTATCATCATTATTATAACAATGTAAAACAGGGCATATACCTTCGGCTATCATACAAATTCTTGCACTGCAAATAGGACAAATCCGTGCAGCTATCATGGTATTTTCTAAAATGCAAACATTGGTAAATCCCTTTAGTGATCATCATAACTCTTACAATGAAAAAAAGCGAAATCTATTCTGCTATCATCAAAATGACCGTTCTCAAATTACCATAGCTGCTGATAGGACGTTAAACAATACTAAACCAATCGTACAATGCAACAAAGGGCAAATCCGAGCAGTTATTATATTTATTATAATGCATACAAGGGTTAATCCCTTCAGTTATCATCATAGTTCTTACAATGCAAACAAGCAAAATCCATTTAGCTATTATGATAATACTTACAGAGTAAAAAAACCATATCCATGCAGCTATTATAATTATTCTTACAAAGTAAAAAAGGGCATATCTCTGCAGCTATCATCATAATTCATACAAATAAAAATGGGTTACCTCCCTCGATTTTTCCATCACAATTCATGTAAAGTTAAAATGGTATCTCCCTTGAGCTATGGGCACAATTCAATCAATATATAGCTAGATATCATTATATACACAATGTTAAACAAAGTAACTCCTATTTTTATCGCAATTCACACAAGATAGATTATGACCCAGGTATAACTATAGGTAGCCCCTAAGCTGTCGTAAGTTACGATGGCTTTTTACGCGTAACTTAAGATACAAAGTTTGGTAAGACGGAGATTTAACGTAACTTCAGGTTACGATAAAATCGTAACTTAGGTTGCCCTTGTAAAACTCAGCCCAGGGTACTTCCTTAGGCAATCATAGTTTACACAGTGTAAACCGAAGTAAGCCAGGCTTTCATCGTATTTCAAACAAGATAAACCGATTCAATTCCTCTACTTATCATCATAATTTAAAAATATCTCGGGCTTACTTACCTTTCCATCTTTTTGATATATTAAGTAATATCAGATGACACAACTTTTCCCTACATCCTCATTGGTTGGGTCAAAGTCACGTTGAGGTTGGTGATTTGTGAAAATGACTCGCTGTTTCTATTTTTAAAAACAGCAGGTTAATATTCACTTTATGACGTCATTTTAATTGTTACGCCAGAATGCTCTGTGCCGAATGCACCATATCACTCGTGACAATTTTCAATCGTTCCATCTTGTTTAATGATTTAAACATTATTTTGAATCTAATATAACAATTAAAGGTTTACTTCGGTATGTGGTAATGTGGTAACCTGGATATGAAAAAGTCATATTGTCTCGACTTCGCCTTGGTAAAGAACACTTTTTCAGGTTAATATAGCTACATATTCACCTCAACAAAATTGATAAACAGTTTTCCTATATTGCATGTAAAAGTAACCCAATATGATACATATTCATTTTGTTTGTGTAGATCAAAAACCGGCAAGGTAATACCGAAGTGTGAATAAAACGTAATTTGACCTAAAAATACACAAAACTAGGACAAAATATGAACAAAACAATGATAGACAAACTAGAAGTAGTAGTAAACTGCGCTTTCTACGCTTAAATGTAATTCTTTACTACATGTAGATAAATGTTTAATTGACATTAACATGAAAATCTTCTATTCGGAGATCCCTACACCCGTCTCTCTGAAGTCTGGAACTATCGTCGCTACACCATTAATGTTAAATACTCTCCATACATCTGAATTCATGATGTTTTTAAATTCTGATCATTGATTTTAATTCATCTCCCCGAACCCCTGCCCTAGACAAAGATGAATTAAGACACACATATAGAACTGCACCTTTAAAATTTGGTAATAAATACAGTATGTCAGAAATGAATAACACTGCACCATGCAGCTGTTTCGTCCCTCTAGGACTCCCAGGTGATGCTAGAGACCGAGAAGTTCATTAAAAATGTGTTTGATTCATTAAGATGTATAGTCTCGAAAAGTTGCATAATATTGTAAAAACGAAGTAAATCTATAAAAGACTGACACTGGTAATAATACTGTGTACCCAAGTCTAAGCAAACCCGTAGAAAACCTTTCTTGTGCCATAACTCGTGTGATCGGGTACTGAGACAAAAGAAAAGTATCGTTTATCCATAGAACAAAGTTGTTTATCATAATGAATAGCAGAACTGATTCAAGCAAAACGATTCGCGATCGAGGGTCAGATTTCTTACATCGGTTAGCGTGTAACAGAAACACAACTTGCAGATAGTCCTGGAAAATACTTATGATGTTTGTATATAGAAGAATTTTGGAGTCTAGGTATGACGTCACGTCCCCTTGTATGACTTTGCATATGTGAAGCATCATCAAACCGAATACCGACAGCAAATATACATTTTCCCGACTTTTGAATCGCTTTGGTGAGCGATCCGGCGTGCAGTAGTTCACTAAACAAAAGAACCCGAGAAAGGTTGCAATTGTCATCAAAACTTTCAAAATTAATTCATAAAATTCTGCGAGGAAATGAAGAGTTTGAATATTTCCCACATTCATCGCCATGGCAACGTAAAAAATGACCATTCCAAATCCTGTCAGTAGGCTAACAACTATGGTTATCATTTGGCACAACATACGTCTGCTCCCATTCCCAGAATAGTCGGGTTCGATTGCGGATGTATGTGGTAGGAGAGACGTTCGCTCAGAATCCTGTATGCCGTTCATTTCCGAGTGCCGTGTTTCGTTTTCATGACTGCTTTCGTTGGAGGGTGACCATATATCTAAAATCATTGTACTGGACAACAGGAAGAACTCCATAAATGTTGGTGCAAGAATACTTCTTGATTTCTCAATAAGAACAGTCATTGTGCTGTTTCTTTCTAGACACCAGTTTGTCGCGTTTTCTTTGTTGATCTCAATAAAAGTAGTAAATGCATCCCCAATGATTGAGACGTATAACTGCACACATGTGTTTGCAGCCAAAAGCAATAACATAGAGTAATTTGCTAGTGTAGAATGTTTCAGTTTGGACTCTGAGAAATAAGTAATAAAAATAATCTCCGAGATGAAACAAACGACCAATAAACAATTAAAACATATTATCGAGTTCCAATAAAGCCCAGCGGTAGTGTTTCCTGAACATTCGATCAATTTGCCGATAAGGAGAGTAGAATAAAGAATGGATGCAAGACCGAAAATCCAAAGGAAACAAACTTGAAGTTTAGTTGTATGTGTATATCTTCTTGTCGCGACAATGCATTGTAGGCCACGCAACTGTGCTAAACATACAAGTATTAGGCATACGGATACACCGCCAAGCATAAGTACCGACAGGAGAAGCAGGACAACTCCCAGCCGAACATTTGCTCCGTCGTAGATCGTATTGGTAGCGCTGAACACTATGATAATTGCCAGGAAGCCCAAGAACAGAACACGGAATGAGATCGAACAGTCATAATACCAGAATCCATTTTGCCGTCTACGGTAATTTCCAGCAGTGAAGGGAAGGATGAATACTGACGTAATCAGTCTACCACACCAGGAATCCATTTGGTATATAATCTAGAATTAAACAATCAGCAGTTAATTCATTTTCAAATATTATGATATAATGTATTATAGCTTATTACCCGAGAAATCATTTATGTTATCTGCTGTACTATCTTAAGGTCAAGGGCACCACTGCATCAGTAATATTTAGGAAGAAGAGATCAAGTGAAAAGCTGTTTTTTGATAGGCGTATTCTCCCCATGTCAAAAAAACAACAGACAAACCAAAGTTACTTCCCTTGTCATGGTACCATCTCTCATTTCCATGCCCAGCGTTTACATTTTAATTTCTAGATAGCAATTTTGCCAATAGTTTGTTTTTGATTCTGAGCAAATGTTATTTTGTAAAAAAAATATCACGACGTGATTCAATTGACACTGAAAAGGACTCTTTTGAAGTCTACTCTCTGCGATTGTATATATGTTGTTAATACATCGTTTATCGATTTATTTGAACAATGTAAACTAGTATTTTCTAAATTGTAGTGTTCTCAACTATTTCTATTTCAGTAGATTTCATTAAAAAATAGGCTATGCCTATATTCGTCGTCTCCGATCCAGAATTACAAACAAACAAACTATATAGAAAGAAATAGAGAGCAATGTTACATGTACATACAGTAGAAGTAGTGACAGAAATAATGATGCAAGGGGAGTAACTCCCACAGACGATTCAGTTATAATTAAATAAATAAATGAATAAGCCTCATTCAAGGACCCCCACGTGTTAGACAGCAAAAGATCCACAAGCTACTAGGGATTCTGACCATACAAAACTCTTAGCCATACACTGGCTTAGGTCAGTCTTCCCAGCAGAACTTGGATCCTTGCCATGCAAAACTAGGAGATTTTTGGTAATATGTAATGATGTAGTTTCAGTAAAAGTCATCATTTTTTTCTTCATCATCCAACCACTTACATTCATCAATCTATTTTCATGTATCAATTGATAATAATATAAAGAAATATTTTCTAAACAAAAACTTGTAAGCAAGATTAATTTGTTTTGCACATTACTGTAACAAGTATGGTTAAAGAATCTCTTTGTATCAGTGATAAAGACTGATACTTTTTCCAGTATAATAGCATTACTATCATCACTTCATTGTGAACAACCACTGAATAAGACATTTATATTGTCATGTTTATGATTATCATTCGGTAAAGAGTTCATCAGAATATGTTTTTGGTTATTAAAGTTTTGACATTAAAATAGATAGTGGTAGGGGGTTTCTTGATCCAGAGGTGAACCAGACAAGTGATCGTTATAAAGGTCAAAGTTCAAGTTACTGGGCTTATTTTGCAGTTGAATATGAGGTTTGATAAGGTTTTTTATGTGTTTTTGAAACCGAGATAGGGACTGGGAGTTAGTAATAGTAGAGTCCAACTGATTTTACTTGTTGAAAGAAAGTGGCAGGAAAGTAACTGTTTAAATAATTATCTGTTCGACGGAGAGGCGGATTAAAAAATATATTTCCCCTAAACTCATATCTTGTACTTGTAATATCATTAATAAATGAATCTGTCATATTTAATAAGTAAGATGGGGTGTCATTATGCAGCATTATGTATATTAAAATTATTTTTTGTTTATTTCTTCTTTCAGCTAATGTTTCCCATTCTTATTCTTCATAAAGTTGCACATAGTTCTCAACTATGGTGATAAATAAGAAATGATCAACCATTATGTGGATAAGGATTCATTTTCGATTGGTATGTCTTACACAGATTGTCGTATACATTCAGAACTAAATATAACGGAACAATATAGGAAAAAATCATAATGACCCAATTTTCGAAAACTAGATGAAAGCTTCGAAAGTCATTACAGCAGATTTCCTTTGTTTCTTTTCTTTACATAAACTTTGGTATCCATAGGTATGAAGTTTCAGTTTTGAACCTCACTATTTTTTAACATATATCAGGTGAGGTTTTTTCAATTAAAGTCAGTAAGTCCATTCTCCTTTGAAGCAAGAGTGGCCTTGACCTTGACCATTTCAATTTAAATTCCCTTATTGCACATTTACATATCACAGTATTTTATTGCAAATTTCAAACACACGAGTCTTTCAGATTTTGAAATAAAATTTGTTACCATTATGGTCTATTTTTAGTAACAGTGAGGTTGATCTTGACCTTAGCAACTTTTGTACATTTTGTTGCACATCTACCTATCATATTTCATTACCATCTCATATTTCAGAATGTTTTGGAATACTTCTTTTGAAAGGCATATACAAAAATCATAATCATGGCAATAGTAAAAATAAAGAAGTAGTACCTGTTGGTTATATGGTAATCATTTAAAAAAAGATTACTGATACTGAGCAAAATCGCTGGAATTATCGAATAATCAATCCATGTAAACTTGGATGCTTTTCCTCAACAAAACATTCCTTATCTCACCAAATTGGGGACACTTCAGTTTTGACAAGACTATATTTGATTTAAACTATTTACCTAGCCAGGTTTTACCGTGAAGTGACATGTTGTTCGGCGGAAATTTAGCGTCACCTTGTTTGAATTGGGATTAGATCAAAACTTACATTCCTTCATCTCATAGTAGGAAACGGACAAAACAGTGTAATCTATGTCTTGATTCTTATTTATACAGGAACGGAAAAGGAAACGCAGCCAAATCACGTTCTTTAATGTAAAATATTTTGTGATCCATTAACGTTATGCATACTTCCTGATTTTGAATTCATAATCTTTCCTGTTTAAAAGGACATTGTCACATCTCACTTCAAAACAACGGAAATATTTAACTTGTTCCTGGCATCATGAGTATGAAACAATGTATTTATACTGACTGTGCATCAGTTTGTTTGCTGAATTTATTTATATTTGGATGTATCTCAAAATGGCATATATTCACATATAGCATTAATTTTGAACTAACTGAGTGTTGTTTTGCAAGTCAATTTATAGTTTTCCAATGGTATTCAATGTAGAATTTTTCGTCCGAAGGGTCTTAAGTAATTCCCTTTTTTTATCCCCGGTGAGAGGACAGGTCCTTCCTTGGCGTCGACGGTAACCAGTGTCGAGTCTGTAAACACGGTTTTAAAGTAATTGTACAGATAGTATTATCTCAGGACGGTAATTGATCGAACGCTTGTCCGCATGTTGTTAGGATATGTGTTCACGAACAAGTGGTTCATATACATATGTACAAAGGGACATTCTGTGAGTGTAGATACCGGGTCTAGACAGAGGGAAATAAAAGCAGACAGAAATCTGATCTACCTGAATAGATTTTAAACTATTGGAAGTAGTTAATTTTTTGAGAGGTTTTTATTCAGTTCTAGTCTGTGTAAACATTCAACTTTGTTACAGGTGTTGCATAAAACATACAAATGCAGATTGATGTGATGGCATCCACATTAAAAAAGGTGATAACCATTAAAACAAATACATCTTGGAGTAAAAAGGGGGAGAAGAAAGAATATGAGTTCTGTCCCTGTGTATCGTTCTTGAGACAACATTTATACACATTGCAAGTTAATGGATTATCCAATTGAAAATGAATACGAACATTATTGCTTTAAATGATTTCACAGAGAGCGCATTTTATTGATACATTTTAATAGAGAAGGTAGGAGGAAATAACCTGAAACCTCTATCCCTTGCTGTGACATCACAAATCAGAGCTGTTTGTTCCGCCGCATTTTATTTAGAGTGTGTCGTATTTTTGTAACTGATAAGCATTTTGATAATTTATGAAGATTCTGTGTTAAAATAGAACAGGATTGTACTTCATTTAAAACAAAACAGAAACATCGTAAACAGTTACAATACTAAACATGTTCCTAGCTCTAAACGCAGGTATTGATCGTTCTTATCTATAATTTTATCATCTTACGTAGAAACACAAAAATGATATGATCGTATAGACAGAAAACCGACCCAGTAGAGAAGGCGCTCAACATAAAGAAAAAAAGGGAATATTGCTAAGCCTTCATAGTTAAATAAATGTTTTGTATATGAATAGCATCAAAGCTTCTTTTACAAGCGATGCAGGAAAAAATGAGAACAAATATATGTATCACAAGTTACCTTATACAAGGATAAACTCCTTAAGTCAATACAAAAGCACATCAATAGCAACTTAAATAACCCATTATGAACTCAACCAAACAACTAATGGCGAAGTAAGTAGATCGTTTTCTTGCACCATATGATTAGCTCCCATATATAAAATATATATGAAATATGCCTAATAAAACATATTGAGAATAATTTTGAAGAGTAATTAAGCTATCTTAGCATTGAATTCCTCATGGTAATTATAATATCGTTAAATTGCTAACATACCTGTAGTAGTAAATCTTGACGCTGTAGTCTGTTCGTTGTGCAATAGCTCGGTTGAAGGGTTGCTGCTCAATCAGGAACATACACAAAAATAACTGGGATTCAATATACCACTCTATGTATTTCCGATCGACCAGGAAGTTATTTCAGATGGTTTATGTTAAAATCTTAGTGAGGGAGGGGGAGTACGATGGCTGATAACGGCCAGATAACGTTCATCCATTTAATTCTGTAGACAGAGGTAAGGGGTAAAAAATCTTTATTATGATTAAATCGATGAATTATCATTCACTCTGCGACTCACTGGATAAGTGTTATTATACAAATTGAAAAATAAAAAGTGAAGTATTCGATTTTTGATTTCTCTAAGAAATATTTCATTTCAATTTTAACGTTTATAAACCAAAAATGTAATGTAACAAGTCTTATAAATCGTAAGTAAATTGCCAATTAAATGACATCTGCCACAATTGGATTCGGTAGATGTTGGTTTTTACGTCTCCTCTGTGTCGCAAACATGTGTCCTATAATCAATACATAGTGGTACAAAACAATGTATATTTCGTGTCTTATGAATCGCAAATATATCTTAAATGTATGGCCACTATCCGCTATCATATCGGGTAAAATTGGGATTTTAGGGCTTATCTCTGTAGATCGTTTTCTTGCACCATATGATTAGCTCCAATATGAAACATATATGAAATATGATTAATGAAAGATATTGAAAATAATTTTGAAGAGTTATCTTAGCATTGAATTCCTCATAGTAATTATAATATCGTTAAAATGCTAATATACCTGTAGTAGTAAATATTGACGTTGTAGTCTGTTCGTTGTGCAATAGTTCGGTTGAAGGGATGCTGCTCAATCAAGAACATGCAACAAAATAACTGGGATTCAAGATACCACCCTATGTATTACCGATCGACCAGGAAGTTATTTCAGATGGTTTTAGTTAGGGAGGGGGGAGTGCAATGGCTGATAACGGCCAGGTATCTGTTTGTATGTTGTGGTATGAAAAACAGGACCACAATATAACAGAAAGTAGAATATCTTTGAATTCTTCACACACTATTACACAATTCATTAACTTTAAACATTAGTACTTTGAAGCAATGGTTCAGAATTAAATTTTCATCCCTGTAACTCTGTAGACAGAGGTTAATGGTAAGCAATCCCTATTATGACTTAATTGATGAATTATCATTCACACTGCAACTCAATGGATTGAGATGAAAATATTGAAAATATATTTCAATTTCTCTAAGTGATATTTCATTTTAATTTTAACGTGTATAAACCAAATATGTTATGTAAGAAGTGTTATAAGTCGCAAGTGTATTGCCGGTTTTTTGGTGACTCTCACCATTCGGTAGATATCGGATTTTTACGGCTTCTCTGTGTACCATACATGTGTTCTATAATCTATACATAGTGGTACAAAACAACGTGTAACTCGTGTCTAATGAATCGCATATATATCTAAAAAGTATATGGCCACCACCAGACATCATATCGGGTTTTAGGGCTTATCTCTGAAACGTTAATATGTCCTTTAATCTTAACCTAGCCGTATACAATGTGATAAGCGACAAACTGGGATACATATAAATAAATACTTGCGGTAATAAAAAAAATAAACATCAAACAGGTGTGTGTGTACCTTTATAATTAATTGATAGGTAAAGGTTGCATGACTGGTTAAATCATAATTGTTGATCGGTTAATGATTATTGGTTAGCTGTTAGTTTTGATTATCTGATAATTGTTTGACTGATGTTTGATTGGCTGATTTACTGAGGCTTGCATTTTGTTGATAACTGATTATCTGATTGATAACATGATAAGTGATTGATGATAACGCATTTCATAACGATTGATTGATTTTATTGACTAATGATTAATAAAAAAACACTTGAATTAATTAATTGCTACTCTATTGCTATTTGTTTATTGATTTTGCGGATTATTTATGTATTCATTGATTGAAGATTAATTGACTGGTGACTGATCAATTGCTACTATATGTGAAAGGGTCATAAAGAGAACATAAATTTGTCAAAACGCTGAAACAACGTGTAAGCAACAGTTCAGGAAAGGTCATGGTACTCATTATGATGTCTAACGCAAAGTCAATGGTTAAAGGCACAGGAAACAAATATTTAAGTCCCCAAAACGAATCATATCGTTTGGGACTACAGGGTGAGCTTCTATGGCGGTCTTCGTTACAATAAGAACGTGTTTATCTTGTTTGACAGGGTCATGTTAGTAACGCTGTAGTTCAGCTCACGTGCTTTCAAAAAGATAAAATTATGTAATCCTTAAATACGATGACCAAAAAAGTCCTCTGACCTATTTCCTTGTATGATATGGTAAAAAATGAAAGACGTGGCAGTTTTTGTCCTTGAATAAAGCTTACTTCGATCTAAACTTATAACATGATCAAAAGGGAAGGTTACTTACATTGTACTAAGCTGTATGATAGGCGACACAATTTCGATTTGTTCTCCGATTGTGAACTTTCATTTCCTTGAAAGTAACATTCTTTCTTACCACATCTCCGGTGTTTACATTTTGCAGACGATTGATATTAATGGACTTCTTCCGAATGTCGTTGAGAAATACCCATTTTCCTTATGCAGGATGATATCGATTATTTTATATCTTTAAAGCTCATTAGTGTGTGTGCCTTGTTTCGTTGGCATAAGCCCTGTTTTCTATTTGAGAACGTTGATTAACTTGGATTCGTGTATATCTTCCCTTTCTTTATATTTTGTCTTACTTTAATCGATTTCGGATAAAAAAAAATGCAGTTGTTCTAATTCTCTTGTCCTCGTTCGACATACAACAGTGTTCATATACTTAGTTTAAAGATGGATTCCGGTTCACTCTTGGCATTATTACACATTTTAATAAATCTAAAACAGTATGGTTATTTTTTCAAACATTAAAGACGTTACTTAAAAACATTTACTTTTGGCATAGACAAATCATTTGTAGCTCTCGAAATTTTAGTCGAATGAACTCCATCTGTCAATTTATTATCCCGTCCATCTCATAAACTGAATTATGAAGGCATTGTTTATTTATTGAAAACGCCGTGATCGACTGTACTACGTGTTTGTATTATATCCTTAGCAGATACTTAAGCAACTTCATGATAGTGAATACTCGCAGGGGAGCTGACTTTATGTACACAAGGAAGTATAATGCTATAGAGCGTTACTGTTTGTAATACCCTTACCTTTGACCTGTCGATCAATATTTATACAATGGTAGCTTAAAGTGTGAGTGCAAAAATCATTTCTATCCCAAGCAAACATTTAATGAATTTTATCATGTATTACACTCTTTTATCAGCTCATTGACTTGTATTTGAAACTGTCCGAAATAACTTTAATCATGGGGGCCCGAATGGTTAAGATATCCGACCGTCTACGATCACCAGCCCTACACAACTGGGTCGCAGATTTGAGGTTTTCGTGGGGCAGTTGCCAGGTACTGGCCGCAGGTTGGTGAATTTTCTCCGGATATAACAGCTTTACGCCATCACTAAATGTCGTCTTTAAATGACTCTAGTTGTTAAGAGGACGTAAAACACAAACAAAACAAATCAAACGTTGATTATATTATTCTTTTAACAAAAGCTGTCATGATCCTAATGCAAATATATTCATGGTTCAATAGCCACCAAGAAAACCATGAATGTTTATACACAACGAACATTTCATGTTATACGGTATACGCTTCTTGGTAGATATGCTTTTTTTCTATGATTCTATGCAAAAATGAAATTAATGCTAATAATAATAATAATAATAATTCGAGGTTTTTATATACCGCTTTATCACAACCTAGTTCGTAGGTCGTCTCAAAGCGGTTCACAAACTATGCTAACGTCATTATGAAACTAAGGTTGCTTTAGTGATCAGTCAACCCCTGTATAGAAAAATGAAGTGCTACAGTTGACAAAACGTAATCCTGTTTCATCTCCCGATAATAAGTCTTGTAGATCAAACTTAAGTGCATGTATATGTCTATGTCAACAAGACATAAAATGTTATAAAAAGCTAGGTTGAAGATGAGTCGACAAAAATGTAAAAGATAGTCAATATTTAGTTATATTAAACTGGGCAGCAATGACCTACTTGTACAATGATGATTCCATAAACCATATGATCGAATAAAAAGGAATCCCCCTAACATTATGTAGTATCTGATTGTATTTCTATTTAAAACACATGTTCACCATGTCTTTTTTTCTATTCTGCTAACTAAATTACATGCAAAATGATGCTGTGACAAAATTACAATTCTTAGTGACACAATGCTCTTTATATTTGAGGAATTATTTAACAATAAGGAACTTCCTCGTTGTTGGTATAAAGTGTGGTGCGCGTCGGCGAGGTTGATAGTTTTCACGTAGGAGCTTTTTCGACGACATCACGATCAAGGCAAATCCAACAACAGGTGAGTACTCATTCATGTATATAACGAAAAGAAAAACAAACGCTTCTGAGCATCTCCCTGGCACTATTGATTTAAATCGAAATTGATCAGTACTCCTCTTAATTTTGATATTCATAATTTAATGGGTTTTACCTACGTGCACCATTGTTTGTACAGTATTTAAGACAGTTTGAATTTCCAATGTTTTGTCCCTTAACATTATTAACCTGTCCTCGAATGATGAATAAATAGGGATTGAATCTGTAATTTTAACAAATTTACTTACATACTTCCCATGAACAGCCTTCGCTTGGCTACGGCCGCTCATGTGGTGTGTAAGTAAATTTTCCCCCGTTCATACTTGCATGAACACTGGAAAAATCCAGGTTCAATTCCTATAATTTCAAATCATTATCAACGGGAGGGAAAACCAAACAATTACCAACTTTCTTCATTCATTCATAAATTTAATGTAGTAATATGACGTAACATCGCAACGTCCTTTCGGGGATCTCGAAACTAATTCACGTGAACATTTTCCCACGGCCGCTTCATCCGGCTCGAGCAACCTTGTTGATAAAAACAATAAAGAAACAGTGGTTTAATTTGCGAATGACTTAAACTTTAATTTAGGCGATTCAACAATGAGTAAGTTAACAACAGTATATTTTGAAGTCGAGGGATGATAATTCTGGAGATCGGGCCGGAAAGGTCGGGCTGGACACCCGGTTTGAGGAAAGCGGTGTTTATAATGAGGGAAAGTACAATACTGTAGCTAGACTCGTCACATTGTTTGTGTCATGGATCATTCATGTATAAGTAATATGAAAGAACTTAATTCGAATAACCTGGAAAGAATGTTATGTGTCGTATTTCCAACCCGGGGTTCGGTTGTTTGTAGTCTCGGCCTTGTTATGTGCAACGTATGTAGGGCTACCATAGGCGTAGTGTTTACATGCCGCATTCGTCATGTTCGTGGAAATTCATAAATAATGCAGTATATTTGTACGTAAATTCACCTCAGTTGATACTTTCTGATGTTGGAAAAATCCAGACCAATTCCTTATATCGCCACTTATTTGATCAGTGTGTGGACCCATCTCAGGCATCTGTGACATCGAACTATTGTCAGTTTGAGCTTTGACAGATTGATATCGTCTAAGCTTAAGGAGAAATCGGATCACCAAACCATCATTTTATTCATTCATTGAAAATTCTGAGGATGAATTATATTCATTTATGGTTGTACAATGTAACAATGGAAGAAATATCGATAAGAGTTCTTACAAACGAAGATAGCACCCGGGGCTCATGAGAGATATTTTTAGAACGCTCTGACGTCACCAATCATCGTTTCCAGTTTTTGCGAATGTCGGGACCCAAATCGGATCAAGCCTTTTGCAGTATCTTACACATCAA